TCTGCCAGTCATCAACCTCTCCAGTGTACTCAGAGTCTTTAAATCTGTTGATTTTCTTCATCCTAACTGCCAATGCATTAATTTTAGCACCTTTTGCCTTTTTGTACACTCTCGCTGCAGCTCTCTAACTCCTCTGCCTGTCTCTGTTCTCAGTATCCTTAAATACATTATACAACTCCAGCCAGGTTGACATATTTGAATAGTGGTCATTCTGTGTCACTCAGTGGCTTCACTTCTGAGATACCAGTGGTCTATAGGATCAGCCTCACTTTTTAATGTGGCAACAACCTCCAGGAGCTGGCTTCCCTCCCCTCATGCTTTTTATACTAGTTACCAAATATTCTTGAAAGACTTTTGCCTTTCTGTGCAATTTGTCTCTGCCCCCTTAGAGTGACCTTCTCTTTCATCGTCACCTGGCTGACTCCTACATGTCTTTTAGTATTCAACTGTTACCTTCTCAGGAATCTTTTCCTCATCCTTAATGGGAGTGCAGCTCCCATTGCTCCATGGGTTATCCCGGATATCTCTATTAAATACTGTGTTTATGTTTGTTTCTAACATGCGATGTGTGCTTCTCAAAGACAGGTATTAGGTCTAATGTATCATCAGTCCTTAGTATGGTGCCTGGCATTTGATAGATAATAAAGATGTATTGAGTAGATTGGATTATTTATTGAACAAAGTGTTATCAAAGAAACATAAACAGTATAAAGAAGTATTGTGGAATTTGAGTAATTAATTTCAGCTGAGATGCTTAAAAAAAAGCTTCATCTAAAATTTAGTGATTTAGTTGAGTCCTGAAAGAAGTCCATAATCAGAAAACAAGATCAAAAGTGCCAAATGAGATTTTTCATATGGGCAAAGTTCCCGAGTTTTGATTGTATTGCATAGAAAACAAAGGGTTCATTATGCTATCTCATTAATAATTGATGGGTAATTATGGGAGTAGGTCATGTGGAGCCTTGAATGCCATGATCAAGAATTTTTTATTAATTCTATCAACAATGGGAATACACTGAAGGGATTTAGAACAAGAAGGAACATAATTAGACCTTAAGTTGCTTTTTAAATTGTTTTTAAGATTTTATTTATTTGAGAGAGGGAGGTAGAAATCATGCGGCTGGGGGAGGAGAGTGGTGGGGAAAGGCAGAGGGAAAGAGAGGAAAAAGAAGAGGAAGAAACAGACTCCTTGCTGAGCAGGGAGATGGAGGAGGGGCTTGATCCCAGGACCCTGAGATCATGACCTGGGCCAAAGGCAGACACATAATGGACTGAGCCACCCAGGCACCCCAGACCTTAAATTTCTTTATTAGAGTAGACACCTTGAGGGTTGGGCTTTTTTTGTTTGTTTCTTGCTCACTCTTTTATTCTCAAATGAAATGTGATTTGCATAAAAGTAGGAACTCATTATATATTTGAATAAAAAAAGATGTGTTTTAGAATAGTACTGTCTGGTATATCTTTCTGCAATGAGGGAAATGTTCTGTATCTACGCTATCCATTTTAGTAACCACTAGACACATGCAGCTATTGCTCACTTTAAGGGACTGAAGAATTGAATTTTTAATCTTATTTAATTTTAATTAATTTATATTTAAATTTAAAGAGCCACATGTGACTTGTGGCTATTATGTTGGACAACACAGTGTAGAAAGTTTTCCCTAGCAGGGTCCCAACAGAAAACAGATGGAACACTCAAATTAGGATAATTCAAGGGAATTTATTTATAGAGAGACTTTTTCCAAATGTGTAGGCAGCTTTAAGGGAACCACAAGAGAGCATGCAATTAACTGCAGCATGACATGGGAGCAATGGTGAGACAGAACTGATGGAAAGACTCATAGTTAAGATTATAAGCCTGGATCACATTGGAATAATATTTAAAATATGCAATAGTAGTTTTAATGAAATTTCATTGAATGAAATCTATGTTCAGAACTGTGCTTTTCAATAGAGCCTTTCCTGACAGTTTATTGTTGTGTCTTTTTTTTTTTTTTTTTTTTTTTTTTTTTTTTCTGATGAGGAATGTAATTGCTTTCTCTACACAGTGCTGATCTGTGCTGTGTATTCTCAGCATTTTTCCCCCTGGTACTCCGCTGTAAGTGGTACCTTTTCCATTCGCAGGGCTGTGCTGACTTAATGGTGGTTCCTGCCAAGGCTCCTTTAAGAAGCATCCTCTCTTCTGAGCACCTAGAATGCAGGCAGGCTCTGACTATTATCTGTGGTTATGTTTTAATATCCTGCCCTTTCCATCCCTTACTTCAGCATAGTTCACCTTCCGTCCTAGCTCATTGCTTGATGATTTGTTAAGGCTTTGAAAACAGAAGGAATGAGGGCTTTTAAGCAGGATGGGGCTATTTCTCCTTGCTTTATTTATTTTTATGCCATGCAAAAGGAATAAAGAGGCATAAAATGGCTTGACTGAGTCAAATAAATCTGGGTAGATAGAGCAAGGACCCAATAAGAAGCTGGAGGTAAAAGAAGAAAAGTGGGGGTGGGGAGATACAGGGAAAGAAGAAGGGAAAGCTTAATAGTTCCTGTAATGAAAGGAACTATTTATTGTTACTTAGAGAACAAAATGTCTTTCACCCAATGAAACATTTTAAACTAACATTAAGCTCTGGATAGATATTAAGAAATCATCTTTATAGTCCTTATTTAATCCCATCAGGTTGTCACCTCCTGCCATCCTTTATTAAAGTATTGTATGCTATTGCTGTTTGTTCTGAGAAGGTTGACATCTTTCAGTTATTCTGATGAATCTCATCATGGAAGCTAGTGAGTTTTTATGGTCAACGCAACAGGAATCTTCTGTATTATTTCTGATATCCTGTGTGAGGGGCAGTGAGGGGGAGGTATCTCTTCAGTCTGTCCCACTCCTGACCTCTTTTACTATCTCTGGCTTCATGATGTTGAAAGAGACAACCAAGAGCTACACTGCATGAAACTGTAGAATATGGGCTTGGTCCTTTAGGTAAAATTAGAAACTGTTTTATAGCCCATTGTGTATCTGCTTATGCCATTACCTTCCATGGCTCTGCATTAACTTTTCATAATTTTCTACTGCTAGCATGGGTAATGCTGGGTAGGAGCTGAGAAAGTAGCCACGACTTTCATCTGGGTAATTGACACCAACTGCTGTTATTGCTCTGACATCTAGAATTTTAGTTGTCTCTATTTCTTTCGCTCTCTTCTCTCCACTTCTTTCACTAGATAAAATTTCCATCATGTACATATTGCACACTCATTGTCAAAAAGAAAAAGTGGTAAGAGACTTAGTAGTCCTCTGCTGTTTCTCCCTAAGAGGCATCTGGAAATGCATGAGGCCAATATCATTGGAATTTAGTAGACAGGGCCCGTGGATGCCAAACATCTTGCAGTGTATAAGGTGGTCTCAAATGACAGTGATTTTTTTTTCCATCTTAATTATCAGTAACACTGTTGCTGAGGAAATCTAGGTGAAATCTTCTCAAGAATCCAGTATGACACCTCCCTGGCATTTGATAGGATCCTAATAAAACTATGTTCTGTTCTGAATTAAGTTGTTCACTTTTAAACTCGTCAACACCTTTCAAGAAGGCCTCTGCAAGTTACTTTCAGGAACAGAAAAAAAAAAAAGCTATACTTGTCAATATCGAGATTCTAACAGTATTGTAGGAGTGGTGAACTTGCATAGAGACAAATATTGGGAAATTTGCAAAATGCTGTTGGAACAAGGAAAGGTGAGAGTTTATTCCTGAGGAGAGTTGGTGGGGGAACTCTGTGGAAACCATTGAGGAACAGGTAGGATTTTAGCAGCAGGTTATTTTGTAGACACTTGCTCAAGTTAAGAGTATATTATATATAAAAACTTGGGAGATGAGGTAGACATGTGTAGGAATATTGTTACTGAAAGGGTAGTACTTGAGAAGATGTAACAGAAAATGGGACTAAACAGAGGTTGGGACAGAGTATATAGATGTTCTTGAACTTCTTGTAAAGAAGTCTCTCCCCTTGAAGGTATGGGTTTATTTGTAAATGTAGTCATTGGACATAGTCTATGATACATAGCCCAATGGTCCACACTTTACCTTCATTTCCTTCTTCATGGAGTCTGTGCTATAAACTTCCTCAGTTATCAGCTGCTTAAACTTACCTTCCTGATTTTCAAGGTCTCCTCTCAAGAGCCCTTTTCAGTTTATTAATTTAAATGGTAGCAATTTTCTTAGAGGTGAATCACATAATAATTTTTTTCAATCTTTTTTATACAAGATAGGACTGAGAAAAAAGTATGATTAGATTCAATTCAGTTGTCTCCCACAAAAGTAATATGTAGAAAATACCAACCAAGGTGACTCCCTGTGTGCTTAATAGCCAAAGATTTAGGTTAAGGATATAACAGAGAACTGTTCTGCTTAAAGAAATGAAAAGGTGTTGCACAAATTATCTTAAAGAGCCAAAAACAGAGTCCAGTTCCTACTTGAAACAATTTGTTCTTGGAATATTGTCAGCTAAAATTGTGGTCAACTTTTGCAAATTGTATGAATTTGCACTGCATATTTTATTTGGTGTTTAGCAAAACTCCAATATGGCTCTGCATAACTTACACAATACACCATGAAAATGACTTCAGAAACTCCCACAGAAGTTGACAAATTGGGCATCTAATGCTTTTAAGCTAATTGCGTGCTTTGAGGTTAAAGAGTCAACAAGTTGACTTGTTAAGAATGAAGATCAGAGTTTCTTGGAGAGAATGCTCTGCCGACTGCCACATTGAATACAACCCAGCCCCATATCAGAAATGTTACAGAAGCTTAAAGGAGAAACTAATGTGAGCTTTAATCAGCAATCTACTTAGTCTTAAGTGAAGTGCTCATGAATCATATGCAATATCATAGCAGTTTTGAAACCTATTCTTGAATTTTCAAGCTGTTATTTTCAGGAAATTTAGAAAGAAAATTGCTAAGTGATAAAGAGTAATCTGATACCATTGCTTATGCCATTTTTTTTCTCTCTTTCAGACTGGAAAAAAGGAAAGGAGTAATACCCTGAATATTGCAATAGACAACATGTGTAAGAAGACAAGGGATCTTCGCAGACAGGTGAGAAAGACAGAGGCGTGGAAAAAGAAACACCATACAAAATGAACTTTACCCACTGCTAGAATATTTGTTTTTGTCCTTCTTCAATTAATTTAGAACACAAAACAAGAAGAGTAAATACGTAACTTCTATATTTACATTCCACAACCATTTTTTCTGGCCAACATAACGTTAATAATAATATAATAATGAAAGAACATGTGACTTAATATCAGGCAGAGTTACATTCAAATGCTGGTCCTGCCCTCATCAGCTGTGTGATCTCGGGGACAAATTTAATCTTTTTGAGTCTCTCTGAACCTATAAAATGGAATTCATAATATATAATTGGACTGGGAGGATTAAATGAAATGCCTATCTGTACCTGCTCCCTAGTGACTTTTTTAAGGAATGTTGTTAAATTGAATCTGTTACATTAGAAACTAGTTTATCATCCATATGCTTAGAGCAAACAGCTAGTAATCAGAGAGGTACCAATTTGCCCTTTCAGTTATTTCAGAATGCTTCAAAAATTAGTTGCTGTTTAAGCTCTAAGGCTACTCTGTAACCTTAGGTCATTGGGAATATAGGATTAGGAAGGATTTCATTAGATAACTTAGAAGCCCAGTATTATGCCTCAAGTTAACTTTTTTCCCCCAAAATATGAAGACTTAGCTTTTTCAAAGACCTTTGCTTTCCATTATTTTCTACTATATAGTATCCAGAGTACTTTTTCATGTACAACTTCAACTTGGTCACCATTAACTCATAAAAGAGAGGCAAAAGCTTTTCAACCATAAGCTTTTAATGCGATATATTATTGTAGTTTAATGGGAAGATTTAGTAAAATGGCCTGAGTAATCTTTTAATTCAGGAGTAGATTTGGAAATTGAATAAATATGGATCCCTCAAGCCAGTTAATATAAGCTGTAAAAAAAAAAAATAAAAATTTTTTGAGGGCTGGGGAAATTCCAATTTCTCAACTTTATGGCCTTAATGTGAATTCTATTTCTATTGTTGGCACTTAGAATCATGGAATGTAAGAGTTAAAAAGTACTTAGCTCAAGACTTGTCTTATAATGCAGATGAGAAAGCATGTCTGTGATCAGGTGACCTGCCTAAGAAGGAAGGGGCATTGAACCTACAACAGGTCATAACCTATACTAAACTCAGGAAATTTTACCCACAAGAGCCACTCTCCCTCTTAATTGCAGGACTTCTGTTCTCAATCTCCTTGAGGATTTCTACTCCATCTTCTTCTCTTGGGTCTTGGAAAAGCTGTTCTATGAGCTCTCAACAATTCCGTCTTTCATTCCTGTCTCATCCCTCTCTATTGACTTCAACAAAATGTTAATCTACATTTATATCTCCAAAGTTTTTGGAATCATTACGTACCAAAAAAAAAAAAAAAAAAAAAAAAAGTCAAGATAAATCAATCCTTCATATATAGGATTTCTAGATTTAGCAAATAAAAGCACAAGATACTCAGTTAACTAACTTTGAATTTCAGATTAAGAACAAACATGTTTAATTATGTCCCAAATATTGCATGGGAGATAATTATATTTTAAAAAATAGTGTGTTTATATATAATTTAAATTTGACCAGGCATCTTGTATTTTATCTTGCAATTCTACATGTGTCCCCCACCACCACCCACTAACATCAGTGAGATATAGAAAGAACATGGGGGATTACTAATACTTTTCTTTATAGCAAAGGGATGTTTCCAGCTTGTAAAAAACTGTTGTGTTCCAGAAGTAGGAAAATCCTCTGTGGTTTCTATAGGTCAACATATTCATTGTTTTGATTAAGTACTGCCGCTAAACAATTACAAACAGTAGCAACCATTTTATTAGGTTTCATGATTCCATGGGTTGGTTGGGGGTTTAGCAGGGCCTTATTTGTACTTTTCACTTGTGGTCTCCCTTGTAGTGGCAGTCAAATGGTAACTGTGTCTGGGTTTGGGGGCTGGATATTTGAGGCCTTGGTGCTTCTTCTTCCTTTTCTCCATGTGGTGTCTAAACTCCTAGGGCCCCTTCTTGTGACTTTTTCTCCCACAGGGTAGCCTGGATTTCTTGCATGATAGATCAGGGCTCCAAGAAAGGAGAGATGGAAGCTGCCACACCTTCTTAATGCTTAAGCTTCAAAGTTACCAGAATGCTATTTCTTCCCCATTTAGAGATAAGAATAGTCATGAATCCTGTCCCAGGTCAAGAGGACCAACAGAAGTGATATGTATGTACATGGTGATTGTTAGAAGTTGGTCTCTGGAGACATCTGTGGTCTTCAATGTCAGTGAGGTAGTTGCTATGGTTTGTTTTCAGCATCCTTACTCGTCCTCCCTAGGACTTCATTTTCTACCCTGATGTTTATACTTTTGCAATAATAAAAACTAGTTTAACAGCAGCATGAGTCATCTCCACCTCTTTGTATTCTTGCAAAGTTTATAAAGCAGTTTGTTTTAAGCATCTTATATATACTCTTTTGCACAGGAAGAAGAAAGTCCCTACCCTTAAAATATTTTTCCTTGAAATATTTAATGTTTGTATATTGTTACAGATCTGTTTTTGTTTGCTTGCTTGTTCTTAGTAAACAATAATCAGAACACATTTTCTTGCCCATTTATCTAATCGCCTTGCTTACCCATATGGGGTTTCTCCATCAGCAACACAGAAACAATTTGGCTTTGGTTCAGAGAATCATTGGATTTCTATGAGATATTTCTATGACATAGATTGCTTAGATAGATCTATGGGGGGCAAATTATACTTTTTGGGACAATAAAAGGAAATTACCTAGAAGGTGACTTAGTGTTTATTTCTATGAACATTATTGCTTTGTGACTTGCTTGCCTGTTACCATAAAATACAAAGACAAAGGTCCTTGGTTCTTTGTGATTTAGCCATGACTTTAATCGACATTATTCATAATGTTCCTTCTCTTTCACTCTCTCAGTTCCTCCTCCTCACCATACCGCACATTAACCTGTTCTCTGACTAAACAGTCTACTTACTATTCGCCAAATTGTCCATCACTGCCCACACCCTCAAACACATGTGCCTTTGTATATATGGTTTCTTTAACTTGGTGCTTTTCCTACTCCTCTTGATTCCCCTGCTGAGCCCCTCATCAACCTTAGGAAGCTCAAGACTAATACCAATGTTACTTTGCTCATGAAACCTTTACCATTATCAGCAGCTGGAATCAGTGTTTTTTCTTTCTGGGGCATTTATAGCATGTGTAGTTCTTTTATAGTAGTGTTCATATTCTGCATGTGTTTCTCTTTTTTAATGGATATTTTAAATGGATTTTTATCTTCCCACTGGATTTCACATCCTTAAAATGTTAGATGTAACAACATCTTTCACTTAGTCGTGCTTTGAAAAGCTCTCTACCAACTCCTTATGTTAGTCTTCACGATTGATTTTTATTTCTGAAATGAGAAATAATGCCATAGTATTATTATCTCAGTTTCTAAGGGGAGTCAATTTACTGAACATCACTTAGCTAACTGGTAGAGCTGAAGTTTGAACCCCAGTCCACCCAACCCAGCCCAAATTTGTAACCACCATGTGAGGGGTCAGGGATAATGGCTTATCACCTTCAGAACTCCCAGTGCCTAATAAACTGTTTTACCATCCTAATGTTTTTTCTTCATTACCACTTGTTTTACAAGTTTTTTTTAATTAAAATTTTTTCTTCCTTTAGTCTCCTTCCTCATCATTTATTTGAGAACTGTGTACCTATTACAGTTCTTAATAAGGGAGGAAGATTTTTTTTTAAATATTTTATTTATTTATTTGACAGAGAGAGAGAGACAGTGAGATAGGGAACACAAGCAGGAGGAGTTGACAGGGAGGAGGCTTCTTGCTGAGCAGGGAGCCGGATGTGAGGCTTAATCCCAGGACCCTGGGATCATGACCTGAGCTGAAGGCAGATGCTTAACAACTGAGACACCCAGTCGCCCCTGGGAGGAAGATTTTTAAACCACATTTCTTTGTTTAAAAATTTAAAGCAATTGAATATATCCCATTTCTATTGTATTAAGCATAATGAAACATGCATTTGATTTTACTAAAGGCAGGTTAAAATTTTTATTTGTGTTTATTGAGAAAAAAATTGCCTATTTTATAAATGCCTAAGTAAGGACTTGAGGTATGTAAAATTAAATAGGATTCTGATAAAACACAAACAAAACAAAAACTTCACTAATTTTTTAGTTGCTGAGTTGTTGAATTGCTATAGGCATCTCTTCCCCATTTTAGTAGTATCAGTGCCACACTTAGAAAAAAAATGTATGTCCTTGTATCTTCTCTTCATCATCCTCATAATGAAATAATATTAATGATCCAAAAGATACAAGTATCATTCAGTAGACACAATAGATATACATTGAATTAATTATTAGGTGATTTAGTTGCTATTAGTCAATTGCATTTTGACAGTCACATTTTGCTATTAAAATTAATATAGCATTAATATCCACATGTATAATTTTTTCTGGTTACCTGAGGACAATTCTTTTCTGAGACTCTTTTCTTTCCATTCCTCTTCTCCTCACAATTTTATTCTTTTTATTCTCTTATCTAGTGGTGGTGGGGGCAGTGCTGTCTTACAGTTTTCACATACAGCTTTCACTTTTGGGTTTCAATTGTAGAGAAATATATTATTTTATTTGAGACCCCAAACCACTTACATCAGTGGGAAATAGAAAAATTGATGTCTCAAAGCCTTTTATTAAACCATAGTGAGAAAAGATGGAAAACCCCTCAGTCTGATTTTGTGCCTGACATCTTTCATGCCTGGCCACAAACAGGTATTTATTGAAAATACATACCTCTATCTCCTATTGGCCTCCCACTAACTTCAGATTTTAGTGCTTCAGCTTCTAAGGTTGTCCTATTTTTACAATGGCATGTTGGATTCTTCTTTGAAGTTTTTTTGTATGTCACTCAAGTGAAAGGAATGAGTTGTTCCATTGGGTGGGAAAATAATATGGAAATTAATAAAGTAGAGGCTTCTAACATATCATACACAGATATAGGTGAGTATACAATTTAAATGGAAAAAAAAATCCCATATGTCAGAATATGCCAGAATATATAAAGAAAATTACTTAACATTTGAGGTGTTCCATATCTTGTCCCTATTTGCATTTCTAGCCTTTTCTCATAATAATTCCTCTTTTCACAGCACAGTACAGAGGATGACAGAATCAAATTCAGTAGTGTGCAAAGCAGACGTGGTAAAGTATGGTCATCAATGGATAGTTTATGTAAGACATCAGAGTCTGTTACTTGGTTCATGACAACATTATCAGCAGACAGATGTATCTATTTTATATTACATTCCCTTGAAAGCAGATCCTAAGACCAGAGCCTTAGCGCAGGTTTTTTATTTAGGAGGCAATTCCAAGAAGCATGTGTAAGAGAACATGAGTGTAAGAGAACAGGCATGGAAGGAGGAAATAATATGCTATTTGAGGTTTCTACTGTAGGCAGCAGAATCTTAAGGATCTGTAAGAAGAGAAAGAATATCTCCCAGAATTATCTAACCAATAGATAGAGACCAGGAATTTTATCTGGTAGTTCCTGTCTGTCTCCACTGATTGATAGTTGTTCCCAGTGGTGTTCCCTCTTCAGAACTTCCAGGCTGTCTGTGCTTGGGTGGAGACTCACAGAGACTTAAAGCAGACCCTAAAAAAGAATAACAAAGAGGAACATGGAATGTATTCGAGGTGGGATGTCTTGAAAGGACAAGGAACTGTTCCTTTACAGCAACAGCTGAAATCAGGAACTGGTCCAGTGGTGGAGACATCATCTTTTAAACTTTTTGTCTTATTTTATTCTTTTTACCTGAAATGCTTTCCGTTACATCTATTGTACCTAAGAAATCCTGTTTCAATCCTTACTCTATCACTGTTCTAGTCACACTAAATTCTTGCCATGTCTTGAGGATCCCTTTATTTATTTATTTATTTATTTATTTATTTATTTGTTTGTTTAATCACTTATGATAGTCTTCATTCTAGAATGCTATGCTTTCCACCTCCCAACCCCTACTCTTTTTTTTTTTTTTTTAGATTTTTATTTATTTATTTGACAGAGAGATCACAAGTAGATGGAGAGGCAGGCAGAGAGAGAGAGAGAGAGAGGGAAGCAGGCTCCCTGCTGAGCAGAGAGCCCGATGCGGGACTCGATCCCAGGACCCTGAGATCATGACCTGAGCCGAAGGCAGCAGCTTAACCCACTGAGCCACCCAGGCACCCCCCAACCCCTACTCTTAACAGCTAATTCAACTTTTAAAATGGAATACCTATATCTCATCTTTACCGAAGGCTTTTAATGATAACAATGCTAGTTGTTTCTTATTTATTTATGCTTCTTGTAAGATACTCATCAAACTCTTTTTGCAACTCTTACGCCCTAATATTATTACCCTGTCTTTGTTATCCTGACATTCCAGTTTGCCTAGAGTGGTGCCTTGTCCTTAGAGAGAAAGCTCAAAGTGCATTTGTTAAATTGAACAGATATACAGCTATAGGAAAGAAGATTCATTTTGCTTATTATATTTGAATTATAGTATGTCAGGTAATTTCTATTCATTTTCCAACAGGATTTTGCAAGCATTGGCATAGAACTTATTTGTAAGCTTATTTTACAGTCCTTATGTCTTGTCCTACTGAACATAATATCACATGTCCATGGTACACCTTTTCTTATTTACTGTGTTTTGTACTTAGCAACATGTGTTAGAATAAAGTTTAAAAAATGTGTTTCTAACGTCGTTTAATTAAAAAAATTAATTTAGCCAAAGCATTTATTTATTTGTTAATAATAGTAAATCAGCTATAGCTCAAGTCTCACCTTTACAACATATTTCAGCACTTCTGTATGGAAGGAAAGATTGAATGAAAAGCAGGGAAAACAGTGAAAGCCTGGAGGGGGGTGCAACGAACAGGGGAGTAAATACCATTACAGAGAGGAAATGCATAGACCATAGCACTGTAAGATTGCTAGAAGTATTCTAGAAATAGGAGTTTATTTTCACTGTTTCTACCTCTACTCATCTCCCATTCATCCTTCAAACCATTGCAATAGGACTTCTGCTTCCATTTTTCTACTCAGACTGCTCTCGCTAAGTTAATCAATGACCTCTTAGTGGTCAAATACATTAGATAAGTCTTAGTTCATTTTATTTAACTTACCTTTAAAATTAGACTCTGAAACTCATTATCTTTTTGAAATTTCTTTGCTGTCAGTTTCCTGATTTTTTTCCTTTATTGTGACATTTAATGACTCTCACTTCTTTATTAGATTATAAGGGACCATGCATTTCCATCTTGCTATATTTCATAATAGCTTGCTCTTGGTAGAAAGGTAATGAAATGATGTTTAGAAATAATTGTTGAATTGAATGGAATCAAATACACAGAAAAGAAGATTCAGTAAGTCCATAATGCGGGTACAATAATTGCATATGGTAGGATAAATTCATTTGGAGACCGTATTGACATAGATTTATTTGAAAGTTTCTCTTTTAGTTGTTGGTCATTTGCTCTCTTTGTTTTTGGCCATCATCTGAGTCTCTTTTTAGATCCCTCTCTTCCATCTGCACAATTCCCATATATGGTAATATTTCCTAAGATTTTATTTTTGGACATCTCCTCACTGTGCATGATCCTATCTGCCTCCTTGGCTTGAATTACCTCCCATATGTATGTTGGCTATTAATTGCATATCTTTAGTGCACATCTCCCCTCCCATTTATATCCTGGTTATAAATGAAAGAAAAAAGGACAAAAGGGAGGGATGATAATTGAAAACTGTTCCCCCTTTGAGATTCCTTCTACTTTTACCTATCTGGAACTAACATAACTTGCAGTTCCCAATTCAAGTCCTAACTTGTGATTCGTTGCCTGACTTCTCTGGTTCATTCTTTATGGATATCAAACACATTGTTCATCCGCTTGAGGTCTTCCCCTTGCCTTGTAACTCCTTAGCACTCTGCACTCTGTTCTACTAAGTGCTCAGGCAATATTAATTAGTTGCTATTAGTGATTTGCCTTTCTGCATGCTAAGCAGATTCTTTCCTTGGGGATCTCCTATAGCCTTTGTGAAATTGTTAGAAGCCAGAAAATTTCACAATTCTTTTTCCTAAGATGATGCTTAGAGGTATTTTTTCTCCCTGAAATCTATAATTATTATGGATTTATATCCTGCAAATATTATAGGAAGATAGTGTTGGTTTTTTTTAATGCAGCTACCATAGCATTCTCATGTAATTCAAAACTAGGGTAACTGTTTATTGTTTTAAAAAATACTCTAAAACATAATTTTCACAAAAAGCAAATTATAAATTTTCTTTTCTGATAGTTATCTCCTTGTTTTAGCATATGGAAGTTATTAAATTAAATAAGGAGGTTCACTTTAAAAATTAGGGAGACATGCATAGTCACTGACACTGTTGGGTGAAACTTTTCAAGATACTGTGATCCTTTAAGACTCAATATTCTATAAATACAATGCATTAATTTTCTAATGCAGTTTTAAATTTCAGTAAATATCGCTGAATAGAGTAATTGCCTGATTGTCATTTATGAGCTTACACATAATCTAATTTAAAAGAACTAATTGTAGTAGAATGTTATACTTGTTTAATAATTTAAGGTGTAAGGGCAAGAACAATTAATGCAGATGAAGAAAATTGGACATCAAACTCATTTATTATTCTCCTTGCTCTATTAATCTGTTATTAACTGGCATAATCGGTGATCTAACTTGGTTTAATTACCATGAAGACTACAATTTAGCTAATCAAAATTTATCATCAGTTCCTCCAATAAAGTAGAAAACATTTCATAATTTTGTAATTATGAAAATACATGATGTACAATGTTGTTTATAGACATGCATAAACATTACAGTAGTACAATTTTTTTGAGGGAAAATGGAGTATTATCACTTACAATCTGACCTCTGGGCTAAGTATAATTTAAGAAAAAAAACAGTGTATTTTGAGAGCAAGAGAGCTATTGCTCAATTATTTTTTTTTCCTTGGATATTTTGTTTGTTTTAACTTTGTAAGTGTCATTCATATACCATCTTAAATATTATTAGTTTAGAGATTGCATAAAAATATGTAAGATTAATTTTGTAACTACTGAGATTGTAAAAATAGGAAATATCATGAACCATTTCCTGAAAAAAAAGTGAATTTTTTATTTCTCCTCAGCTCCGTAAAGCTATTATAGATCATGTGTCAGACTCCTTTTTGGATACAACAGTCCCACTTTTGGTTCTCATTGAAGCTGCCAAGAATGGCCGAGAAAAGGAAATAAAAGAATATGCTTCAATATTTCGTGAACACACCAACAGGCTTATAGAGGTAAGCATGCTAGAACTGTAACTACTCCAAATCCAGGAGAATAAAGCTCTCATTACCCTTTCCCAGTTGAACTGTACTCAGATGAAAACTTTTGGCCACTTATTAAATGAAGAAAAGTTCAGTATTTTTTATGTATATATGTTAAAAAGTATACACACATACACACATACACACACACAAACTGGTTAAATGCAGATTCTTTGTTTTATCCTTACACATATTTTCTTGTTCTAAGATGAAAGTATTAAATATTTACCTCATGTCATTTTATTATTTGTCTACCATCTTTTCATGGCTTATTACTCCTTCACCCTTTCAAATCATACTCAACTATGTAACATGACTATAGAAAAACAATGTCAAATATACAGGGGTAGAAATATCCAGAATAAATAAGTGGGGATAGTGGATTGGTCCATGTCCCATTAGAGGCAAAAGGAGATGATAAAACTATAATTTCTTCAGCTTGGAAGCTAGGAGCATGGAAATGGTCCATAATTTGGGGTCAAGATGGCATATTGCTGAAAGAGCCATAAAATGCTAGACAATTCCTAGGAAACAGATACTAGAACCTATTGTATTATGGAGATGTGTAAGGCAGCCACAGTATAAGAGAGTCTGAATGGAAGGATTTCTAACACCAGTAAGATGGCAGTACTCGCAAGGCCAGGAACTGGTAGCAGAAAAGGGAAAATGTGCTTGACCAGATTCATATACCAGAGCTGATACACTGTTAGGACTCATCAGTATGACTGCACTGTTGTTTATGAATTAAATGTTCTGACTGCCACACCTTCATATACTGGCTGTGAACTTTGTGGTGAATATGTTTGGGGGCTCAAATTGCTTGCAAAAACTTGTGAGTCAGAGATAGACATCACATGAATTAGAATCAACAGCATTTTATAGAACATCTATTAAAATAGAGGACTTTCCCAATGTCTTCATCTTATTTATGTCTTTAATGTTGATCCACTGGGAAGGAAGTTTCTAATGTAGCTAGCATTTGCACTATAAACTCTCTGGTTCCTAGTCCACACATCAAGAAAATGAAAAGAGTTGATAAATAGATAATTACTAAGATCATTTCACTCCTAAAATTGACCTACCTGCATCTCTAAAATCTACTTTGAGCTTACCAAGAACTCTGTGAGACAGGGTAACTGTTATAATTCTCATTGACCTTAGATGGAAATAAAGGTACAAAACCAGACCAGGCTAATTATTGCCAGAGCTGATTTCCAGGCTTACAATTTTTAACTAATTCATCCAATTATTTATTATATTTCTCATCTTATTTATTCCCTCTTATATTTATTCCTCAAATATATATTCAATCTTCCCCCTAGGAAAATGTTTAAGCAAGAGGCAAAGCAGAAGGAACAGATCATTAAAGGCACCTAGCTAAGTGTGGCCCCTGACAATCATGATCATTTTCTCTAAAAATGTGTTGTCTAAGCTGAAGGCACACCAAATTAGGAAAACAACTTTTTGGTGAAATATTCTGAAAGTAAAAGTTGATTTCTGCTAAGAAACTTATATCCTTATTCCTATTTCTTAGTTTAGTGTTGCTATGAAACATAAAACTCTTATGGTGCTTGGTAAAGAAGAGCTTCTTGATCACAGTTTTTTTGGGGAAAAGTTGCATCTATTTCTTCTCTTGGGGATTTTACAGTTCTGAGAAATCCATAGATAAGATGATCTCTTTAAGTCAGAAATTCCCCAAATCAGTTTACCTAAGGAATTCTTCCTTCCATGAGACTTATTAGAGCAGTGCCTTGAAGGAATGCATGAGAATGCTTCCTCAATTTATTGTGAAATGATGGTTTATTATTATGAAAACAGAGCTCTAAGAATCTTTTAAAAATTTAAGGACCTTGAAAATTCTATATTTCATGTGAACATTGAAAGAATGAAAGATTGTGTAATTTTGAGCTCCTGGGGGACTGAGAATGGGTTTTACTTAACATTGAAAGTCCCCTTAACACAAATAATGAGACTATCCTAGCTTTGGAGTCACAGTTCTCCCTCTGGTACTACTTAAAAAGTGGCCTATGTCATTTTCAGTTCCAGTTAGTGCATGACTACATACCATACCATCTCCAAACTTAGTGGCTTAAAACAATAATTTATTATTCTTTCACTGATCTGCAGGTTGTCTGGGCAGATGGGCAACTCTCACTTAGGTTCTTCCTGGGATTATTGTCAAATATTGGCTGGGTATGGAGCCCTCAAAAGGTTTGACTGGGCTCGACATACAAGATGTCACATTCACATGACTGAAAGTGCTTGAGAACTATCACCTGGGAGCTTAGCCATGGCTCCTCACTGGAGGACCAATACATGGCCTTTCTACGTGGCTTCAGCTTTTTGAAGAATAGTAGCTGGTTCTGAGATGAGAGGTCCCAAAAGCAAGTGAGAGACAAGAACTAGATACTGATAGCCTCTTAAGATCTTGGCCCAGAAATTATCAGAATACCACTGCCACTATATACTATTGGTCCAAAGCAACCGTGGAGCCTGCCCAAACAGGAGGGGAGGCAGGGAGGTGTGAGACTTCACCTTTCAATGGAAAGAATAGCAAAGTATGTGGCCACCTTTATTCTACTATACTTCTCTTTTCAGGACTTCATTTGCTTTATATAAAGTAAAGGTTAACAAGGTAATATCTAAGGTCATAGCTGGTTTCTAAAATTCTGTGATATAACAAATATTTTTTACAATTGAAGGACTTGTAATTTTCTTTTTCTTTTTTTAAAAGATTTTACTTATTATTTATTTGAGAGAAAGAGAGGGTGGGGGTGGGGGTGGAGGGCAGAAGCAGACTGCCCGCTGAGCAGGGATCCCACTGCAGGGCTCTGATCTCACAATCCTGAGATCATGACCTGAGCTGAAATCAAGAGTCAAATGCTTAGCCAACTGAGCCACCCAGGTGCCCCAAGACTCCTCATTTTCTAACAGCTCTAGACTTTGGTGAAAATGAAAGTGGTTTTTAAGTATACTGCTTGCCCACTAGGTTGTTTATATATAACAAGGAAAAAAAAAAGAACACTACATTTATCTCCCAGGAAAAGTTCTCTTTGAAAGGAGCTGTCTAACTAAGGCAACAGAGAAAATCATCATTAATTTACTACAAATGTTGAGCCAGAAGTGTCTGTGACAGAGTCCCGGGAAATAGAACTTAAAGGATCAGTTTCAGAAGACATTGTGAGTTTACTTTGTATAGATTGTTTACCAATCCTCCACCTTTGTTTTCCCTACTCCTCCTCCACCCAGACTACTTAGACCCATCTTCTTCCCAAGCTGGGTACTTTGACAGAGCAGGACAGAAGAAAGTCTTAGATTCTAAATGACTTCAAGAAAAAGCTATTTTCAAAATGTCTGGGTTTTGATACCTCGACTGTGTTTGTCAGAGAAATCTAAATCAGTGAATTTGTTGCAGTAAGACTTAAATGGAAAGAAAAGTCCATTTTTAAAGAATTCCTATCAGATCTTTGAAGAAAAACTCCATACCATTAAAGGAATACTTTTGATAGTAGTTAAAATTGTAACTTATACCCAAAAAATAGAAAAAAAAACAAACAAACCTGGATTTGAACACAAAGAAAAACAGCAGCAACAACAAGAAAGCATTAAGAAATTCTGCAGGTAATAATTAGGCAACCCAAAGGATTTGGGGCGTTGGAGACAAAAAGTGAGAATGAGGAGAAGAGTGGCCAATAAATTGGGCCTGAACTTTCCTATTCTCTAGTGGAGTCATGTCTGAGGTCTTGTTTTATATTATCATATAGTTTGGTGTAAAATGATCATGGGTGAAATGATGGTTATAAAACCCTGGGTACTGTTAATAACTGGAAACTTAGATCCTTATGGCTAATTTTGTTTAGTTATGCAGAACTCAGTAACCATTATGTAAAACATCCTACTTTGAACATCCAAGTTACTCTGCGTTTTCGGATCCACCAAGCCACAGTGGAAATGAAAAGGAGTCAAAAGGTTGGCATTTAAAAAATCATCTTTACGTAGTGATTAGCTATTTAATGACAAACATGCTCATTGACTTATACTTCCCAGTATTTGATCTTGGACTGATGGTGAATTAGGGCACCATTAACTCTACTGACTTCTATGAATAATACCTATTAAACAGGAAGTTTAAACTATTAATTTTATCTTAAAATTTAAAGTATTCACTAATTCTGGAGAGTTAGAGTTTTATCTGTCATCACTTGGAGTCTATTTTGTTAGCCAAATCTATGCAGCTAGTACTCCAAAATCTGCACTGAATGAAGGAATGCATTCATTACACTAACTCACTTTTGTTTTTCTCTAAAAAGTTAACTTTTGGGATTCTAGTAACAGGACTTGGAACAATGTGTGAACCCAGTTACTTAGTAGGGTGACTTCTTATTCTACTGTACTTGAATACTTGAAAATAATTCTTCACTATGATATTAGCAAACACCTTTGCCATCAATTATCAAAAGCTAACACTATAAACTCTACTCCAGATCTCCATCAGATGGAATTTGTCACAATTAGATAACACTTTTAAAGAACTTTGCCCACTTCAGAGATAAAGTTTCTAACTTTAATGTGGTAATATAATTGTTATTCAGAAGAATGCCATTGCATGCAATACATGCATTGCTTACTATAATAGCTGTTATTTAATATTTCTTTGAAATTAATTTCTAAAAAATCTACTACTATTTTTGAATCATACTATGCTCTCAGCATATCATGCTTTCAGCAACCAGTTCATGTTGAACACTACATAGTTGCTACCAACTAAAAAGGTAAAATCTCCAGTTTATCCCATGGATTTTACTATATTAATTATCACTAAATATGACAGTGTTAACGATCTAGGCCTGAAAATTTTCTGTGAATTAGAGAAGTTTCTCCATGTGAAAAGTGAGCTTCGTCAGTGCTTTGACTTATTCATCAAAAATTCATCTGTCTTGATGCACCTTATTTTAGTAAGTTTCATGGGAGCC